TTGTTTTATGATTCTATGATTCTATGATTCTGTTTTCTGTCAGCCTTCCTAGTCAGTAAAAGTTCCCTTCACCCTCTTCTGGCTTTCCTCCTCCTCCACCCTGCTGCATGTGAGGTGGATAGATTTCCTGTTCCTCATGTGGAAGACTTGGATGTCTTTTCACTCAGATCTCTTCTCCCTTAAACACATCCTGCTCTTAATCTGACTTTCTTGTGATCAGCTCTTGTTTTCATTTTGGAGTGTGCCAGTGACTCACGACAGAGGAGACTTGTCAGTCTCTGCTTCCCCTTTTTTTCTGCTTGCTCAGATGCTGGTGCTGTGGCTTGCTACAGAAAAGCTGCACATGCAGTCTGGGATGGGTACAGGGCATTGTATCCTTGTGAAAATCCCACAGCTGGGCTTCCCTCCTAACCCTCACACTCTCAACACGTCATCTGGTGGGACATCCAGTCTTGCAGGCATCTCACCTAAAGAGAATGTGATCCTTAGGAAGTGGCTTAGCCAGAATCGAGAGGAGCCTCCCAGACAGCCGTGAACCTTCCCAGCCTTCCAGGAAGATGCATTTTGCGGTGCCTCAGAGTTGTCGTTAGTATAAGGGAGGTGCCAGCAAAGTGTTAATGGCTTGGTAGAGAGACCTGATTGGTCTCTGTATCTGGGTTTGGGGAACTGAAGTAGAAGGAGCAGTGCTGCTTTTTCTTTTTTTTTTTTTCCCTTCTTTTCTGAAGCCAATTCCCAATGCCTTTTCTTTTTAAGAGCTTTCCCCGCGCAAGATGTTTATACAACCCCCGTGTATTTCTCATCGGACTGGCTGAATGAATACTGGGACGCTCTAGCTGTGGATGATTACCGGTTTGTCTACATGGGACCTAAAGGTTCATGGTAAGGCAGTGTGGTTTCTATCATTCTTATACTCTTTTTTCTTTTTTTTTTTTAAAGATTAGTATTGCAGGGGATTATCACATTGGCCTTCAGGATGGCATCACATTTGAGAGGCAGCGTGGCCATTCTCTATAGCATTGTACATGAACCCAGCCAGTTTTCTTCCTCAAGCAGCTCGTTTGGTTCTGGATGTGAGCTGTCCTGGGGCAGTAAAATGCTTTTGCGCTTCAGAAAGCCCTGAACTCTGCACACAAAACCTGCAAAAACTGTCAGCTCACTTACGTAGGGTTTTAGAGCAGCAACTTCCCGAGGATCAACCGCTGCTTGTGGTTTGTAGGGTCAACAGAAGCCTCGGAGGGGCGCTGATGAGTCGGTCAAATATTTTAAAGGTGAAAATTTCACTCTGGCGTTGGTGATCCAATTGCCTTTACAGTATTCTCATCAGTTCACACAATCTCCTGCCAATGAGTTATTTGCAGGACAGATCCAAAACCCACTGATGGAGAAGCACTGAGGATATAAACCACCAGAATACTCCACAGTGTTCCTTTAAGATGTGACACAATCAAAATTGAACGGAGAGGATAACAACTTGGGATTGAATTTGTGTAGCAAAAGTTCATTTTCATGTGTATGTCTGATTCTCAGAGACTTTCATTCACCTTACAGCTTTTAGGCGTCGTCCTTAAACGTCTGATTTGCCCCACAGGACTCCGTTCCACGCTGACGTCTTCCGTTCCTATAGCTGGTCAGCAAATATTTGTGGGAGAAAGAAATGGCTGTTGTACCCTGCGGGACAGGAGGAGTTTCTGAAGGACCGCCACGGCAACCTGCCCTTCGATGTGACCGCCCCTACTCTTCAGGACAGGAGCGTTTACCCTCGCTACAACCAAAGCCAACCCCCCGTTGAAATTGTACAGGAGGCGGGGGAGATAGTTTTCATCCCCAGCGGGTGGCATCATCAAGTTTACAATCTGGTAGGTTGCTCATACCATCTGTTTTCCTTGGGCAGCAGGGCTTGAATCCGAGCAAACCTTTATTGCCACAGCATGTGACGGAGGCCAAAAAGTTTAAACTGAGCTGTAAAAAGTTGAGAGAAGTCTATCAGTGGCTGCTCAAGATGATGGCTAAAAGCAAGCCTGGACTCCTAAGCAGCTTAGGTCATTGACCACTGGAAGGTAGGAGAGTGTACAACTGAAGAAGCTGTGTGCACCCTCTTTTCTCCTGCTTTTCATCGTGTGATGCTGCTAGTCACTGAGAATAGGATGCTGGAGGAGACCAAGTTGTGGGGAGGCAAGTTGTGGGGGGACCTGTAGCGATAGGACAAGGGGCAATGGCCTGAAACTGCAAGAGGGTGGATTTAGATTAGATGTCAGGAAAAAATTCTTCCCCATGAGAGTGGTGAGGCACTGGCACAGGCTGCCCAAAGAGGTTGTGGATGCCCCATCCCTGGAAGTGTTCAGGGCTGGGTTGGACGGGGCTTGGAGCAACTGGGCTGGAGGGAGAGAGGTGTCGCTGCCCACAGCAGGGAGATTGCAACTAGATGATCTTTAAGGTCCCTTCCAACCTTAACCAGTCTATGATTGTATGAAAACAAACATGAACCAATCGGTCTTCACGATTACAAACCAAAATTAACAACCTTGTTCCTTTCTCCCTGCTACCTTCTCCCACCTCTGTGCTCTTAAAAGGTCAGCTCAGACAGAGGAACTGGAGGCATTTGCCTGTTTACAAAGTGAAACAAGATTTGGTTGCTCGGGGCCGTTAGGAAGAGGCAGCCTTTCAGCAATATTGCTGCCAGAGAAGCGTTTCCCTCGCTGAGGAATGCGGTTTTACATTTTGCAGCACCTTGATTGTTACGGCTGTTTTCTCACACTTTCCTACATAATGCCATTTCCATCCTCCCTTCAGGAGGACACCATTTCCATCAACCACAACTGGGTGAACGGCTGCAACGTGGCCATCATGTGGTGCTTCCTGCAGGACGAATTAGCAGCTGTTCAGCGGGAAATCAATGAGTGGAAGGACCCAGTGGATGATTGGCACCTACAATGTCAGGTATAACAACGTGATGCTGGCTGCCTGACCCTCTCTTAGAGGGTCATATCTTTCCAGGGGGTGTCACACCACCTTAACAGAGCTCAAAGACAAAAAGTTCCACAAGTTCCTAAGTGGAATTGGTACGTGTTTCATACAGAAGTAGGAATTGTTGGGTTTTATTTACCGGAATTCAGCTATTAATTTACTCAGACAGGGAAGGGCTTGTGCCAGTTGCTATGTCAGGGAGGTTGTCTGAAAAACTAATGCTTCAACTCCTCTTCTTCAACTATCAAGGTTAGTCTTAGCGTTTGGATCAATCTTTTGTGTAGCATTTATGTGCCCCTTTATATCATCTTATCAGAAGAACTGATAAGACAGACCCCACACAGAAGAACTAGTTTGAAGACCATTCCTGACGAATCGGTCGATCTGAAAGGAGCAAAACTGAGGTGAAGGTGGCAGCAGATTTCTGTGTCTGCCAAGCGATGCTTTCGGAACACGTAACTATACTGAGCAGTGTCGCATCTTCCAGAATCTTAAGCATGAAACAAACGCAAAGTTTCCTTGTGGAGGTTCTTACTGCTGCTGTGTTGATATCCTTCAAAAATAGTTTCAAAAACTACAGCCATTTAGCATTGAGTAGACTCTTTCTTTTGGGGTTAGTGACATTTCCAGCAAGGTAAAGAATTTTAGTGCCCTTGGAGCATTACAAAAAATTGGATTCAACGCGCTTACTGATGATTTTGTGTAGTTACTAGCTCAGTAAGATATGGTTTTGTAATTCTTACTGTAAATAAGAATGTTGTTTCCATGTCAGTGTCATTTTTTTTTCCCCTGCCTAGCTGATCATGAAGTCTTGCACAGGTATAGACTACAAGGAGTTCTACAACTTCCTCAAAATTATTGCAGAGAACAGGATTTCTGTCTTGGAAAACGGCCTCGATGACGAAGCTTCGGCAAAGAACACTCCCAAAGCTGCCATTTCCACCTTGGGCATGCTCCACGCGGTGTTTGATTTAAAGAGGACTGTGAAGGTGTTAACATCATTGAGTGCTAATGAAGATTTCAAGAAACTAGACCTGACGTCACTCTCTCCACCTCCGGAGGCGTTGCTCCACCACTTGAAAGCAGCAATAGATACGGCGCTACTCTAACTTCCTATTTAGTCAGTTCTTTGTAAAATGAGCCTTTTGCAAAGTGGGTGTTTGTAAGAAGCCCGACTCCTCCCTGTTTAATAGCTGTTGCAGTTTTAAGTACAAAGAGCCTTAATATGGAGTGAGGAGAGAGAGTACATTCATGAGGAGGCTGAAAACTTTTCGACAAGGTTTAAGTATCCGAAGTGATTAGATGGGAGAAAAAAACATGTCGGATAAAGAAAAAACCCAAATCACGTTTGCGAAGGCGAGGATGCGTTCGGAGAAGCGGAACAGAAATTCTCTGTGGCTCAAGCTTAGGTCTGTCAGGGCTGAGCACGGAGATCACAGTGGTCTGCACCCGATTCCCCCGGCTGCTCAGAGCACTTGATGCAGACAACAAACCACGCTGCAGACTCCAGCAGTTTAAGCTGTGCTTGGTCTGATCACAGCTAAATTACTTTAAGAACTGTCCTGCTTCTGAGTGCAGCTCAGCCTTTTTTATTTTATTTTCTTTGAGTTAATTAGCTTCCACTGAAGCCTGAGCTGGCTCGATAGCTGTAGCCTGGATGTGGAAGAGCTGACTGTACTGGCCTCCCAGTGTTGTATCTCTCTAAAACTGAAAACTTTCGGGTAGAATCAGCCTTCACACTGCTCTAGAGCCTGCAGGATTAAATCTAACATACTCGTTGAGAAGCCGGAGCCCTGATTGCAAATTACTGCAGGCAGCAACTCTGCCGCTCATAATTTAAGCTCATAATTTAACCCGAGCTCAAAAGGAGGAACTCGAATGTACTCTCACCTTTCTACACGCTATTTCAAGGCACAGTATTTTATCGAGCAAAGATGATGGGAATAATCAGGGAAGCTAGCAAGTAGCCTCATGTTCTCTCCTTAAAAAAACAAAAAAGCCGCACTGGTAACACACCAAATAGCACTGCTGCATGGTTACACAGCACAATTTGCAACCTGAATGCTACCCTTGGGCTAAAAAAGAGTGTTTCTTCTTGCTTTTACTGGTTGGTGAGAAAGCCTAGAAGCACAAAACGGCTCCACACTGTTACCTTCGCTGCCCCTTTAGGGCTCACTTGAATTCTTGCTCAAGAACTTCCTCAATTTTCAACCAGATGACCAGTAAGAGCAACTAATAATCCTGCCTTTAGGAAGTGCAATAGTAGAAATCTGCAGTAGGCTGAAAAAATCACCTCATTTTCTAGATGATCCTGTGGAGTTTGTACACGCATGCCTTTTGCATGTCCTGTTTTGTAGTAGAAGTTCTGCATTTTGAGAGTACCTGAAACTAAAATCAATACCCAGAGCATGGAAGAATGTGCTATGGAAAAAACAGATTTATTTTTTTTTGAAATTTTTTTTTTTTTTTCAAACAGCTGTGACTACATCTCAGTGATTCAACTTTCTGGCAGGGTGTTTCTTTAGACTGGAAAGCCGCCAGTTTTAAACAACTCTGAAATTAAAAGTTCACAGCTGTTCCTTAAGGCTGTTTACATTCTCAAAGGCAGGCAGCTGGAGCTTTCTGCCTCGTACGAAAGAGGTGAGACTGCACAGAGGTGAGGAGCGACGGTTTAAAGCTGACGACCGGTGTGTTGGTAGCAAAGCAGGGGTTTAGTCTTGCATTCCCCACCGTCACTGCATGCTCTGCCATTGGAATTGCCAGCAGCCACTTGAAACACTGCAATTTTTAGAAAAGGTTCGCTTGGATGAATGGTACTTTCTTTTTCATGTCCCATCAAGCTGGAACTGCTTGGCTTTGCAGTATCTTGACATACCCAGGATCAGTTTCGACTAAAACTCGTCCGGCACGCTACGTCCCCGTTTGGATGGGTGGTGTTGAGTTTGCTGCGTTGCAAAAAGTCCAAGCAGAGGTTCTCGGAGGAGAAAAATCGTTTCTGCAGTCAGTTCCTCTCCCCTGCAGAAAATAGTTAAGGAAGAAGATAGGCCAGCATGGTAGGAAAACAAATAAATATTTGTTTAATTGCCAAAAATTATCTTAAAGTTTAAGCCATGTTCTCCTTGCTAATTCAGCAGGGAACAGAAGCACAAAAATCATTTTTCTTGATTCAGTCTCTCTCACAAATGGCTAATTGGGAGTTCGAATCCTCCGTTCCTGTGAACGATCGAGGCAGTAAGAGCGTCCCCTTTTTCCTAA